CTTTGGTATTTGTTTTTATAGAATAGTAGAGAATGTGGATAGTGTAAAACAGAGCAGAAAGTGTGGAAAATCCACTCAAAACTTCCCTTTGGCTCCTTTGTACCAGTAATCTGCATGGAGTCAGCTGAGGGCCCAGCCAGACTCCAGGAAATTGTTTTAAGGTAACAGGAGAACACAAATTAATTTCCAGTGTCCTCATGGAAATAAGATGAGTGTTGCTGAAGTTCAGATATTCTACCATGGAGAACCTTCCAACAGGCACTACACCGTAGTCACAATTCACATCTTGGGGGTTCTGCTTTGGCAGGTCTTGGATTCCTTTCTAGCCTGTATTACGTGTTCATTACAGTGCTTGGTTACTTTTAAAGACCTTTATAAGAATGTTGGTGTTTGTGGACATAGTTTGGGGAACGCCTGGTGAGCACGGCTTGTTCAGCACAAGCACTAGTGACATTCTCGGGGACAGATCAACTATGGGGTGAGATAGTCCTAAAACTAGGACCACAGAAGTTGGTCACCTGTCTATATCAGGTTTTGTAAATAACAGAGGAAGATAGGAGGAAAACAAAATTCAGTGTTAATGAAGGTAATCAAACACTTGTTAATGAACACTTAAAAAATGAAGACTTGCATACAGTTGTGTAATTGAAGTAGAAATGTATACCATAAAAAGCTAAACAATCATTCTCCTCCCCCACTCCACCCCCCCACCATCCAGATCTTCTTAAGGAATCTTAATTTTTTGTCCTCTGAAGCCCTATTAGGTATATGTATTTATAAAACATCCAAGAAAGCTGTGATTCTTTGATTAGTGTTTCCAGGACCAGAAAGGAAATAATACAGCCAGCACACAAAAGAAATGGGGGGGGGGGAAATGTTACTTTTTTTACTGTTGTAATCTCTCTGTAACCTTTGATCTATATCTGCACTAAAGGTAGGTGTAGAACATCACCTTGAAGGTACCTCTTGCTTTCAGTGGATCATGAATGTCAGCCTTGACAGGTATCCTCTGGTAATGTTATAAAGCATATGTGGCTTATTCTCAGCAAAGCTGTCCATACTTTTGTCTTGTTGGAATATTCCTACTTTCTCCCTAGTTACTGTCATTTCTTTTTGTCATCCTTAAATGGAAAAATAGGTTGTAAAATCTTGTTAGCTGGTTTTAATTTTTCCTCTTGCTAACTTCAAAAAGCCATTACATCTGTCTTAAAAGATACATTATATTTTTACTGATACTATAGAAGAAATTACTTTTTTTTTGTGATATGGTTCATAAATGCCAATTATTGCAAACTTTGCACTTTGGGTGCTATGTATCTTCTGTACTTTTAAGCCCCAAATCCTGCAAAGACTGCCCAATACTTGTTCTGTGACTTTCTATGGAACTATTTTAATTAAGAGTCCACTAAATGGATTCCATTGATGTTTTGCTATTCAACAAGTAAAAATGCCAGTGAAACTTGCACTGTCACTTAATCAGATGTGCATTCACTTGACCATGGAATGTCTTGTCTAAGTCGTTACGCTATGCCTTACCAAAATTTTCCATACAAAAACATGAAAGTGCCCATGTTAGCTGTGTTTTGCATTTGACTGGGGTTTTGTTGTTGTTGTTGTTAGGGGACAGCTTCTCTCATAGTTATATAATTGTATGTGAATGTACTAAGAATTATGACAGAAATGCCCATGAAGTGTAGCGGTAGTAATATGAAAGATGAAGCAATCCAAAGGAAAACAAGTTCATCACACTGTCAGCATCCATTTTTTAATGGGGAAAGTCCCATGCAATGTAATAGAGAACTAGAACATTTGTCATTATGCCAATCCTACATTTGACTGAGAGAGGCATCAGCAAAAAGTGAACACCAAAAAAAGTCTCTGAAATGTAGGTCCAAACTTAGGAGAACTTGAATAAGTGAAAATGAGGAAAAAATGGTTTGGAAGCACAGAAATTTTAAAAGTAGGGGCTGAAATAGTTTATCTGTTCGTGTTATGAATGACCCTCTGTTTTATAGGAAGAGAAGAGAGGGCATAGAGGATAGAGTATATAGCTCAACATACTTATGGGGCAAGGGGTTTCCCAACCATGCTGTAAAAGGAAAGTTTGAAGTCAGTCTGTGGCCGTGGTCCTTCCATCAGTGGGGTTAAATCAGGAGAACTTTTGTTGTTGACCGTTGCAGAGATTCACTCTGAAGTGGAAGCAAAGAGCAACAGTCTGTCTTCCTGTAGTAAATGGTGCCTGTATAACAGCCAGGATCTGACTTACTCTGTCTTGGATCTCCTAAATGCTTGTTCAGCTGATAGGGTGACAAAAGCCTCTTTATAGTAGAACTGCTGCTTCAGAGTCACAACTACAGTAAAATGGTTCACAGTTTAAGAAAACAACCTAATGAACATCACTTGATTCCTGGAGCTGAGCACATGTTTCTGTTTCAGCACTGATGTGAAGTGAGCTTTGGTTAATTTATTTTAGGGGTAACTGAGTGTTTAATACCTAGCTTTCATGCATGGAAAACAAAAAGTGTTTGTGAGCTGGTTGGTAGTAAAGAGACATAACATACTGAGAGCCCGTTTGGGATTTGCAAGGTGACTGGTGCCTAGGGTCTGTGCTGCCTTGCCAAGCTCAGCGTGGAGCATAGGCAGGGCCTCAGGGGTGATGGAGAACACATGTAAAATACACCATGGGATCACTTAAGTCCTGTGAAGTTTTCTCTTGCTCATCTTTAGAAGGGCAAGAGGCAGTGAGGTGTCAGCTAAAGGCAGTGCTGTTGTTGAAATAGCACTGAGACTTCAGCTGAGCTTTGTAACGGAGGATCATGGAGCACTCTTTAAACATTAATGTGGTTTCACGTTAGCGAGGTAGGAGGCTACCAGTAATACTCATCTTACTTAGGACTGACTGTAGGCAAAAACCGTGCAATTAGCTCACCTAGATAAGTTAGTGGTAAGGGCTGGAGTAGCTGACTCCTAGTTGTACTTGTAGCACATTTATCCTGCTCAGAAATAGGCCATGTACTTTATTGACTACAGTATGAGGCAGATCTCTATAATTTAACAAACTCTGAGACTTAACGAATCTCTGCATGCTTTAATGTTCTTTTAAAGCCCAAGTTGTTTGTTTCTGTGTGTTTGGACCCGCTTTGCAAGTCATGGACAAGGATTTAGGTGAATTGGTGCATGATTATGTGCCACATAATACTCGCTGAAAAGCCAGGAGTTGGTTAACAGAAAATGAACAGAGGAGCAGGTGCCATGAAATCAAAGTTTAAATGTACTCCAGGTAGAAATGGCATGATGGGGACAGCAAAGTGTGGAGCTTAATGACAAGCTCCTATGAAGTCACAGGACATCCCTAACTGGTGGGGGCCAGGTACTGCTGACAAGCAGGGAGGAACTAACCAAATCTAAGACATATCCAGGAAAATGCCATTTTTAAATATAGGTTAAAATTTCTGAACCTGCTTCCTTCAGGGTTCAGTTGTTTCCTCCAGCAAGCAGTGTCTGAAAGTCCTTCAGCCTTCTGTGCTGTTGGAGTCTGTGGGAAAGCAGCTGCTTATGCATGTTTTTGGTGCAAACAAGGGCATATTGCCAAAATGCTGGTGAGTTAACCAACAAGAAACAAGCATGGAAGAGAAAATTCTGGTTTTCAGCCAAAACCAGAATTAGTGATCACTAGATGAGTGGGATATGTAGGAATGTGACACAGCTTTCCCTTCTGCCGCTCTGGGCTGAAACATTAGTACTCTAGGAGGCATCCTCCAGAAAGCAGCATCCTAAAATGGGATGTGGCCTTGCAGTTACAAGGTTTGACCTGTTTTCATGCCCTTCTCCTGACAGTCAACAACAGAGCTTCTGACTTTGTCTGTGGGACCAGGGCTTAGCTCAGCTTCTTTATCCTGCTGGCGTGAACCCCTGTGAGACTTCATCAATTTTTGTCGGCTTTTAAAGATCTAGCTGGCTGATGCTCTCCAGGTTCAGTTTGTTGTGATGTTTGTGTTTGTTTTCTTGGAAAGCCAGCCATGCTCCTGTCAGGATTATCACTGACATTACACAGTCCCTGGCAGGTACCAGGGACCAGACTGTGTGCCGGCAGTGCTTGCTTCCTGTGGCCTTCGATACTCAGATGCGATGTGCTGGCTTTATATATTTATTTGTCCCTTACTTGGATAAGCAGATCTCTTAAGCCATCCCCTAAATTGGTAGTTAGCATGTGTTAAGCATGTATTTTTATTGAGAGGTAGTTCTGAGTTAGTTACTTTTTAGATGAGGACACATACACGAGATAGATATGTAAGTATTGTTTAGCTTCTGCATGCACTTGGTGCAGTGGATGGTTTGTTTTGTTTGCTGTGCGGGGGCTCTTGTTGATGAGCACTTTGGATGTGTCAAGGTAACTACTTCTGGTTGTTCGCTTCAGATTCATGTATTAAAATTCACTTCTCTTAGGCAGGGAGTCAGATTTCCCTATTGCGCCTTTTAATGGCACTTGGGAAATCCTAGCTCATAGTGTCATGGGGTTCTGCATCAACATTGCTATATATAAAGTCCCTGATTAACAGATGAGTAGCTGGCGATATGTTCCACTGCTAAAGAGGACATTTTCAGTGGCAAAATATGAAAAACTACAGTGGGCACAGGTGTGGAAGAGCTGTGAAGTCTCTCACTCACTTAGGCAGTGAAGCGTGAGGGCTTTTCTGCTGTCCTTCAGACAGGAGCACATTCGAGAGCTGGACTGGCTAGTGTCCGTGCTTCATGCTCTTTAATTGTATATTGCTAGTTAATCTGGGCATTAGGTGGAAATGTAGAGATTGGAAAAGATAATCCACGCTGTTGTTGGTAATTGGAACAAACCTCTATATATGACCTTGCCAAAAAACTTCTGAGAGTCTTGTGTTAGTAGTGCCCCATATATTTGTCACTGGTTTAAGTATCTGTATGATGATCATTTATGCTTAAGGGTTTGTTGTGAACTTAGAACTATTTTTGCATGACAGGTCACAGTAATGAAAGGCAGTAGTAGGAATAAGGATCATTCGACAGAAGGAGAAGGAACTGGGAAGCGACCAAAAAGAAAGTGTCTTCAGTGGCATCCCCTGCTTGCCAAGAAACTCCTTGACTTCTCTGAAGAGGAGGAGGAAGAAGAGGAAGAGGAAGATATTGATAAGGTAGACTTCATTGGATACTTTGACTGTAGAGGGTTAATGGTGGGTCATATTCTCCCTAGCTGTGTTTCTGTTTTGTTTGCTTCTTGCTGTTCTCTTTTGTGAACAAACGTGGCCAATTAAAAATGATGCTGTGCCCATCAGGTTATAAAGGTAATAGCAAATAACATGGAGTTGTCAACCACGTTTTTAAAATCTTGGACAAAACTCTGTTTTTTAGAGTTAGACTATCTTTGCGTGTGAAATTCAGCTTATCCTCCAGAACAGCGAGAACCCAATTGGAATAATCTCTCTTGTTTGATGCTTGGTATTTTGGTATTGTTCAATGATGCTGGCCTTACCCTTTTTTCGTAAGGACCTCACAGTGTGGCACCTCCCAAATGTACAGTTAGACTCATCCTCTGTAACAAGAACTGGGAATGGGAGGTGATGGGTTTTGGAGACGTGATGTTTCCAGCATGTGGATAACATTCATATCTGCATCTCCTTGATGCTTTGCTGAGGCAGGAAGGGAGAGGCCAGAGCTGAGGAGACTGCCTTGAGCCGCATACTGATAAGGAAGAGTGACCTTGACAAGGATAAGGAGGAGCCTGATATTCTCACAGTGCTTTCTATTGACCTTACAGGTTGCTTGCCAAAATGTGGCATAAAAAAAGCCATGTTGTGGTTAAGTAGGAGATGAATTTCTGTGTCGTACAGTAAAAAGTTTCAGTCAGAACTAGTCTTCTGTGGTGCATGCTTCACAGGAATGATAGGCTGGTCTGTGAGCAGAGAGAGCATATTTTGGCAGTGTATTCTGTTGAGATTTGCCCCCTGGCCTCCGACTGGGCAGCTGTGCAGTGACTACACTGCAGCACAGCTCACAGGCTGAGTAATGAGCGGCAGGAGATGAGGGAACAACTGTTACCTATGCACTTTCCTTCCAATGAACTTTGTAGTTGCAAACACGAGTGATTGACGCCCAAGTTAGTTCTGCTCACCTCATCCCACCAAGATGATTTCTAGGTCATAGGAAGGGGATAGGTAGGATCTTGTCTTTCAGCCCCTTTAGGACTGTTACTAGAGAGTGGTCCTCAGCTTAGAAATCTGCTTCACTTGCAAGTCAGAGTTTAAGTCTTGCAGAGAGCATCAACAAACCTTGGATCTTCAGGTGAGGATGTTTGTAGAACTCTGGGTCTTCTGGACAGAACAGGTAGACTTTGCAGGTAGCTGTGTGTAGCCATGAGCATCTCTTTCCTTGACACGCAGCATACAGAGACTCTCAGTCTCCATGAGAAGCGTGGATAACTGAGTTTACACCCCTTCCCTTTCTGTTCTGTTAGGTGCCGCTTCTTGGCGCTGATGGTTTAGAGCAGGATGCTGATGAAACCGAAGATGACGAGTCCTCAGAGCAACGAGCTCGCCGACCAATGAATGCATTTCTCTTGTTCTGCAAACGCCATCGCTCTCTTGTGCGAAAAGAACACCCTCGCCTTGATAACCGTGGCGCAACCAAGATCTTGGCAGATTGGTGGGCTGTTCTAGATCCAAAAGAAAAGCAGAAATACACTGACATGGCCAAGGAGGTATGTACTGTCTGAATGGTGGATGTAAAGGGAGTTGATAACACATATGTCTGTTTTCTGTTTCTCAGTGTATTAATTGTTTTCTGTGGGGTCTTTCTCTTCCCTGAATTTCTCAGCTTCCCTAGTGGGATTATGGTGCCCAGAGCTGCTGCTGGTTTTGCTTTGATTCACTTGGTCCTTTGGACCAGAATGAAAAGAAGTTGGTCTGTATACACAAACTAACCTGGCTCTAGTAGTCATTGGAACAAATATATGCACTTTGTAATAGATATCACCTGATAATTCCTGCGGTACATGTATTAGCACATGGATAGAGTGTGGCCATTGAAAATAATAAATTATATGGTTCAGTATCAGCTGATTGTAGTGATACTTCCTCAAGCTGTGCATTTGCCATCAATAATATAGGTTGCTATTATAATACAGGTGGAACAAACCAAAAGCATAGTGAACAAATGCCATCCCTTTTTACCTTTGATGTTGAAGAATTTTAAGTTTACTAGTGTTTCATTAAGTACTCTCCGTGTGCATTGCTACCAATTTCTGATATAGCAGCCTTTGGTGAGGCAGAGTCCAGTACCCACATCAGAGAGCAATATACATTCAGAGTCCTTTAACTGGGAGCAAGGACGAGAGATTTATTCCCATATTTCACAAAATGTTATGTGACTAATATTTAAATGAGGCTTCTTAGGAAATAGCGTACATGGTAAGCTGGCCCCAAGAAGACTGCAGATATTGATAGTGGAGAGTGAAAGACAAAGCAACTTAGGCTGATAATATCACCCCAAAATAGATCACTCTAATTACCTGTGTGATCTAGATTGTGGGTAATTAATGAATTAAATCTTAGAAAAAATAATGGACGGCCATGTCTCTCATTTGTCAAGTAACGCTAGCATACTACAAGTACAGATAGGTGTGAAACAGTTGGGGAAACTATTATCTGTACCTGTCCTGTCACCCAACGGTGTCTGCTACTGTTAACACATGTCTATAAGATCTGTCTGTTCAGTAGTTTGTGTGAGCATGGAAGGGTCCACAGGAAAACCGAAATGTTCTGCATGGCAGGTCCTTTTTGAAGCAGGGTGTATGGTACCTCTGTAGTCCCTCGTCTGTGATACAGTGTTGAAATACTTGAGTCTCAGCTTTGTCCAACCATTCCTGATTTCTTTTGCCTTCCCACTTACAAATTAGCCATGCTTCTTGAAATGTGTGGGAAAAGGACAATTAGGAGATCCAGTACAGATACAGAGGAAGGAAAGATGAAAACGAAATAATCTTAGGAAGAAACAAACCTGATGTGACTGTATTTCTTAGCCTTTTGTATTGCTGAAGAAAGCTCATTCATTAAGAAGGCAAATAATTGCAGAACTTCTGTATGAAGTGACAGATCTGAAACTATTAATCGTATTGTTGTAGAAATCATTGTTCCTGTAGTGATTTATTTATTTTTCCTGGCTTGAAGAACAAATTGCATATTCAGTGTCAGAGAAACAATAAATCTAAGTAGTTTAGATCATTACGACTAGTTCCAAGAATGCGTAGAAGAGAGATAACATATAATTTTTATTCTTAAAGCATTTGTATGTTACAACAATAATTAGCAGCTATAATGTGCCATTGAATGTATTTGGGCCTTCTTCACCAACAGGCGTATTCTGTGTGTGTGGATCGCTTGTTTGTTTTAACACTCGCTTTTATAGTTAGCTTTACTGCTGAGACTGTCAAAAAGATGTTAATGTCAACTCTAATGAGAACCATTTATTGGTATTTTTCTTTTTCTGAAGGAGAGCTCATTTAAAAGTCGAGGAGGTGAATGCCTTTGGAAGGACATAAAATTACCGTTGTATTAGTAACCTTCTATTTGTGTACCTATAGGTATAAGCTCATTGAGGTTTAAAATACAATGGATGAGCTTCCATTACTTCAATGTAGTTTTTCAGTGCCCCTTGACTTCCAGTTTTCACCACACAGCCTGTAGCCTCTGCCCTGGCAGGGCGCACATCGCCCAAAGGACCCTGTGTCATATCCACTACCACCACAACATGTCTTGTGTACCCTGAGCATCTGCATCACTTCTAGATATCTGAATGGACCTGACAGAAGCTGTCCCTACTGCAGTGGCTACAACTGTTGTTGTTTCACAGTCTCGAGAATGTTTTTACTACTTGGAGACTGTTTTTACTACTTGAAGCCAGAGTTTACAAAGTCAGCTCAGATCAAGCAAGCAGCTTTCAGTTTCTCAGCTGCTTAGTACCAGCAACTAACTGACACTACATCAGCAGTGGGCAAATCAAGGCATTGGCATATTTACTTACACGTATCAAGCTATATGCAAGATCTAGGATTTTGGAAGGTAGTGAGGCACTCGAACATTTTGCCAAGTGGAATTACGAGAAGTTTTCTGTTGGGTTGGACATCTATCTGTGATTCCCACTGAGAGGATAATCTGGTCTATGGTTTGTTTAGGCACTTTTGGAAATTCCCATTATGTACCTATCTGTACCTTGGGGTGCCTTAATTTCCTAGAAAAACTGTCCCCATGATCCCTCTATTCTCAGTCGTGTGGTTTACGGTCTCTCATAGCAACACCTGCCCTGGAGACTTCATACTGTGCCTGCAGAGCTCAGTGTCAGCTTCTGCTAGTGTTCTCCTTAGGAGCAGGCTTTCTATTTGTATCCTACAGACTTTGTAGATCAACTTAACTTTGAAAATTTCATTATAGAGGATTTAAGCTCAGTAGCTGATAAATACTCCCAAGTGGAACCACAAGTGTTCCTGCTGTTTGTTAGCGTTTTCCCTTCACTGAGGAGAAAATGAATTCTGGCCTTTCAAATACGCTTCAGCATTTTTAGTCACTATAATAATAGGGGTAGTGTTAACTCTTACAGGGCTTACTGGGAACATTCAGCTACCTTGGAAAATATCCAGTGAGATTATTATTGTTCAAGCCCCATTTCCCTTGCTAGAAAACACTTCATTTTTAAATACATCTTTGCATCGGCAAGACCCAGGCAGTCAGGATTGTTTCTTGTAGGGAGCAGCCTGATAAATCCAGGCTGCAGCCGTTCGGTGGCAGAGCTGAACATTTCTCCCTGCCGGTGCTCGGCCAGTGGTTTCGCAGATACAGTCACTGCCACTGCTTTGGCAAGCTGCATTGGGGTAGGAGGAGACAAATGTTCTGTCTTCCTGGCTGGAGTCTGGCAAGTTCACTGGGTGACGTGTCGACCGTAACGTGTAATGTGAACCTGCGTCCCTCAGGAGTGGAAAAATGGGGTGTAGTGTTTTCTGGGGATTTTTTTTTCTGCTTTTGTTAGATCTCTGGATTTCATGTGACATTTAATAGCCAGTTGGTGGGATTTAGGCATACATTTAAAGTTAAGCACGTGCTAACTGCTACCCTGAGGTGTAGCTGGAATCCACTTGTGAGCTTCTGTTCCTACCACGCTGGAGAAAGCAAATCTCTTTTATTTGGTGATGAAAGCAACTCAGGGAGTTGCACTGAAGCGCAGCACCTTTTTTTAACCTCAGCTGTAAAGTGGCATCAGTCCCCCTGCATAATGCATCCTTCCCCAGGCTTTCACAAAACAGAGATGGTACATCAGACCGATACCACAAACATATCTTGCGCTTTTTTTATCTTAGGTGGGACCTGGGGACATGACCCAAGTCGTCCCTGCCACTCATGTGGGAACCAAAGTAGTGTCTTTCTATTCCAGGTTAAGGACTTACCCATTTTTTTAAGAGACTTTAGAGATGTCCTTAGACTGGCTGTGTTAAGTTGCTTTACTGCACAGTTGGTCGAATTGAGGAAGACAGTAAGGTCTGCTATTGTCTTTGGCATTTTCTCGTTACTGTGTAGCTCATTGAAGTTATCTTCTCATGACATCGCAAGCAGAATCTATCATTTCATTTTAGGCCTTGGTCTAATAGTCACAAAAATCAATACTGAAAGTCTTCTGGAGATTTTGGTCAGGCCCCTGTATGCATTTTATAAAACTACTTTTTGGTCATTGTTTAACTTTTTTTACATTTTCATTTATCTTGAGTGTTGAAAATGTGAAAGGGGACGATGAATTGTCCTCCCTCAGTTTGCTCCCTTCCCTTCCGAGAGTGCAGTTAATGTTCACTTCTTGGCTTTGCACAGGAAAAAATCCATTAATACGCCACCTCACTTGAATTGCTCTTGTTGGGACTGATTAAAAGCTTATTGCTGCCTCGCCTCACAAATTGCATGCATTCTGGTTCTCATTTGATGGGCAGCCTGTCGGCTTGTCAAATTACTCCATAGAATAATTCAATTACTCAAAGTAGCAATGCTGATATGAAGAGCTTATGTACCTCACAGCTAGTTATTCTGTGCTTTTCACTCTGCAGGCTGGAAGCATGATTTGTGAGTGGGCTGTGGCTTTAACAATGGATGGCAAAGCTGCTTCTCTCTGTATTTCCTTTCCGCCTCTTCCCTTGCCCCCTCCGCTTCCCTCCACCAGGCTGTTTTTGTGGTGTACTGAGCTCCCAAACCAAACCGAGGGAAAGGGAAAAGGGGTGAGGTGAGAGGTGTCACAGTCCTTAGTTTGCAGATTTAATACATAATGCCCTATTCAGAAAATACAGTGTGTATGTGGGTCAGCGGTCCCTGCAGATTTTTATTATTTATAGCCATTTCTATAAATACAGGACTTCACACAGTGGGTTCACATGGTGCTGTGCTTCTGGTAAACTGAATTGTTTTTATCTTTGCTACAGTCTGGAGGTAGCGAGTGCCAGCTGGTAGATTAAGATGGAAATGAAAGCAAGTGATAGAGATGCAATGGTGATCCTGCCACAAGGCATGCCGTGTATTGATCTTGCAGTCGCTCTATCAGAGGAGAAGGTTTTCAGTGCTATTTCTGTATTTGATACCCAAGGGATTCTTTTTCCCCCTCTGTGTGTGTTTCTGTGCAGGCGTGTGCATGAAACGTAGGTGCTTCTCTGTGCCATAACTGGGACTGATGACAGCTGGGTGGGTTGGAACATACGTGATCACAGAAGAAACTTCCTGCAGCTGCCCTGCCACGTACTTCAGGATAAATCTGCTCTCTTGGTCGTTTGTTGCCATCGAGGGCTGCGTAGTGCGTGAGGTGGCATTGGGTTCCTTCTCCCTGCGGTCAGACTGGTACTTACTGGGTAGGCTCCCACAGCAGCCAGTGCTGTGCCTCTATCAGTTGTTAGGCAAACATTTGCAGCTGGAATGTGTGGCATGTTCCTCTGATTTGCCTGTTCTCCACTTTGCATAGCAGCACATTTAAAATACTGAAATGTGCTCTCTTTATTACTGTTGACATTCAAAAATCTTGTTTTGATCTGGTCAGCAAGATACTTGGAAAACATCACTGTTGCATTTTGTGAGTAAAAGATCCCCATTCTTCCCCCTACCTCCCAAACTGTGTAGGATCCAGACCTCTTCCCCCCACCCCCTATGCGTAGTCTGGTTTGGTTTGTTTTGCTGCCTCATACCAACAATATAGCAAACCACTGAGATACGTGCTGTGTGCTCAAGGCCGAAGAAAGTTTTAAATGGTCCCAGTTCAGTTTATGCAGCCATGCAGCATGGTACATTTTGGAAGGAATGCTGGGACAATGTATCAGAAGTTACTGAAAATGAGATGATACTGGTAGTGGTTTATTTTCGGTGCCTGATATGGGAAAGCATATACTCAAATATTCTAAAATACAGAACTACTAGAGAAGAATGAGTGCAAGGTAAGGACCATCATGCTGCATTTATTGCTACATGTATGTTTTCATTTCATTCAAACTAGAAAGTAAACAAAGATTGTACCTGCAGAAGAATTTAAATAGCTGTGTTTCCCAGAGAGTGAGCATACAAGCACTGGGGAATAGTTTGCAGGGTCAGAACTTCAGCCTACTCTGGGTGATAAATCTTCAGGAGAGGAAAGAGAAACCCTACTTTTTTAAATACAGCTCTACTTATCTTAATATTACTTCTTAATAGATTGTGTTGGCAATCAGACTCTAAGCATGTGATTAAACTGTTAAAAAATCAAGATATTTAAGGATTATTTACTGTATTAAATCCTCTTACATGCAGTGCACTCAATTGCCTGGTGGATAGTATAATGTCATGACTGGTAATTTTCCTTTTCTTTTCTAGTACAAAGATGCGTTTATGAAGGCGAATCCAGGGTACAAGTGGTGCCCTACAACAAACAAACCTGTGAAAACCCAGACATCTAGTGTTACTAACAGGAAAAAGCTATGGGCCTTTGCATCAGACTCCGCAAAAGATTTACCGAGCCCGAGAAAAGCCACAAAAAGTGAAGAAATGCCACAGCTTAACTTCGGGATGGCAGGTAACATTTCCATCCATGTTACTCAGACGTAGCATCCTTGTTTTGTTTGAGGATGTGGCATTGAAATCAAACTGTGATACCAGTTTTCTTTACTGTACATGGTAACTGCAGTGCAAATAACTTTCATGTCCCAAATTCAGTTGCCAAGACTAAAGTTAAACCTCTGCATAACAACTTTCTAAATTTTCCTTAGCCCATGATTGCTTTCGAGAGTCGAGGCTGGATATGTGGCATCATAACCCGTACCCCATTTGGGGTCCAGATTTGATTGATTTTTAGTTCTGGCTTATCTGCTGTTAGAGATTTTCATTTTCTAGTCAAAAAGGAAAATGCTGATTGTGTGCATTCTTTTTCTCTTTCATAGAATTTTGTACTATGTTTGGTAATTTGTTGTTTACAAAAATAATTTATGGGTGTTTATGAAGTTGGAGGTGTTAACATTCTTGTGGATGAATGTACTGCTGGAGCTAACATTTTGTATTCAAATCAAGAGTAATTTAATTTCAGTTAAAATATGCTTTTTTGCCCCTTGTACCTTGGAGGGGTGGATTCTAACCCTTTAAACATTTAAAAAAAAATAAATCAGTGAATAACTGTAGTTGGAGTGCCTGAACTGGTGAAAGGCAGATAATCTCTCTCTGATATCCACAAATAGCAGAACTGTTGCCATTGTGACCTTCAAATACAGAGACATTAATGTTCAATACTGGCAGTTTAAGAACCTAACAGTCAAGGTAGAAAATAATTTTTCCCCCACCACCCTTTTTTTCTTTTTCTGGTTTAAAGCTTCTAATTTTATAAATACTGATCTATTTGAAACTTTGTCTTATCCTACCTAGTTTATGAGAAGTGTGTGGTAGATATTTTCTGCTTAGAGAGATCATGGTCTGGAGAGCAGAAAATGGTTTTATGCAACAAGTGTAAAAGGATGAAAAGGGATAAAAAGACATGTATACCTTTTTGCCCGTATAGTGGTATGAAAATTCTTGTAATGAAATTCCTTCTGGCTATGAAGGAACTGTGAAATCCGATCAAAATAAAGTTTTTCATGCTACATAGACCAGTTCTAAAAATCGCAAGCCCCTTCATCCCGTTCTGCTTTTGCTATCAGCAGAGTGACTTCTATGCTCCATGAAGGCTTATTGACTTAACACAAAGAACAAATAATAGGCCTCGGTCTACCTGTCTGCCATCCCTCATCGCTTCTGCTGGGCTGTCCAAATGTAGAGTGTCTGAGTACAGAGAGGTCTTGAATCAACACCTGTCAGAGCAGAGGACAGAGAACTTAAGAATTGATTAGAAACTAATCTCAGTCATTGTTTTACCTATAGAGCCATACATTTGTGAAGAAGGCCCTTTTGTGCTACACGTGATTTAAATGTTTGGGGTTTTTTGTTTTGATTCGGTTTTTTACTGCAGATCGAGTCAATGAGCATTGTAATTTCACAGGGGTCTCACCCCAGTCCTCATGCCAGCGAAGGCTGGCTATTTCTTGAGTATAACAATAGCTCATCAAATACCTCTGACAGAGATGTTAGCAGCATCCAAATCATGACAAGGCTGCCATGCCAAATGGATTACTGTTTTTGTCAACTATATACCAGTTTGTGCTAAATACATTTTGGTGTGTTCTTCTCTCCTTGACTTCATGTGATAGATCAATTCAACTCTGAGTCTTCTATCCAGCACAACCTTTTAAAATCCAGGCTGTATAGTAGCTGATGAACTAAAATGTAGCTGAACCACTTCAGAAACACTTTTACCTTTGAAATGCCACTGACTGTCTTGCATCTTCAAGGCAAATAACTTCCTTAGGATAGGGATTATATGACTCCAGGAAATCTGTTTTACTTGTTGGTAGTTGTTAATCCTGTCTTGATTGCTTTTTACATAATACATTTCATTTTGGAAAATGTAATATATAGATAGTAAGATCTTCTTTTTTTTTTTTTAAGTCCCCCACAAGCCATATCTCTCCTTTATTTTTCACATTCCCACAATAACCACCCCACATGTAAGCCTCTTGTGTTGACCTGTCATTGGGTCAAGAATCTGAGGTGTGACACCAGCATTGGGGCTTCTGACCTAGAAGTTGCAATTGAGTGTGTTTTTCCTCATGACATGGCTCACCTGTGATCCTGCTGTAGGGTGTAGGGCAAAGATTGCTGTTCACAGGTGAACATGACCATCGCAGCATCTACCCTCACAACTACAGATCTAAGCGAGCAACACCTTTGCTATTCAAGTGTGCAAGATTCCCAATACTTTCACATTTCTGCATCAGAAGAAAACTATCTGAGCCAAAAAGCTTTTTAGTGAAGCAAAGGCTGGAAAAAAGACACTTCCTAGTGTAGGCAATATCTTGATAGAGATGCAGTTCTTGGTTTTTTGGAAAGAAGCTTAATTCTGCACCCAGGTAAAAGGTAGTTGAAACTGGTACCTGCGGGCCTTCTTTCTCCTTAGTTCTTCCTCAGTTCGTTCTTTCCTCTGACTGAAAAATTGCCATGACGAGCAAGCGAGCCTGCTGAGTTTCTAACCAGACCAGTACTAACAAAGTATGTCATTCCCAAACATTAAAAGCTGTTGAGAAAGTCACAAATTGCCTCCCATTCTGCAAGTCAAATGTGTGTGCTATTTTCTCACTACTGTTGGTTTAACTGTAAATTGCTTTAAAATAGCACTTAAAATTCTTAGTTTTTCATACCACTAAGTTCTTAGTGCCATAAGAGAAACACTGTTGTGCTGAGAAGGCAGTATAAACATATGGCAGTGTTTGCATATATATTTTTTGTCTTCCCTTAGATAAAATTTTGTAATTTGAAACCTTAGTGGAAGGATTTTTGGTTTTAGCATGATCAGACATCTAAGTGCCAGCCCTCTGCTACAGCTGCAGCATAAGTATTCAAGTTGTTTGAGCACCAAATTAAACTTTCACTTTCCACTTAGCTGTCATTTTTTAACTTCCTCTTAATTTTTATATTTAAATAAACAGCTTAAGTATTTGCTTACTTGGGGAAGAAACAGTCCTGTCCTTGTCCTGTTACAAGCTACTTATTTGAAAGGCAGAAAGCTGAGACCACCAAGAAGATGTTTAGAAGACGGGGGAAGAATTTTAGAGCCATAAGCTGGATGTTCTCCAGTTGGCCAAAACTGAGGGGGGGAAGATGACCCACAGGTAACTAAAGTGAAGCACAAGAGAGCAGCTGGGAGCCCTCAGTGTGATGTGGGCATAAGAAAGTGCTACACTGCAGTGTGTCAGGCAAAGTGTTTTCAGGAACTGTAGAGAAGAGTTGATGTCCTTGAACAGAGCACAGCTCATCTGACGTGGTTGCCCTACTGGTTGTTCACGTACAAGAAAGAGGAACTCCACCTGGAGTAACTGGAGAGGAGAGCTACGGGGATTGCTGGGACTGTGCGAGATGGACATCACAAGATCTTGATTTGCTTAGGCTAGGAAAGCAGGTGGAAGAAGAGTGCGGTGACTGCTGTAAACATGGGAGAGGGAAATACCATCTAGGGAGAACAGTTACTTAATCGTAAAGATGTGGACACCAGAAAAATGTGTACCACCTGGCCCTGAGTAAACTTAAGCTGAAAACTGGAAGAAAGCTCTTAATGCTTAGCAGATTTGGGTTCTGCAGCAGCCTTCCAATGGGAATAAAGTAAGGAGCAAGCAACCAGCCAAGCTCTTACTGTTTAATATGGAGCTCAGTAAGTTTATGATGGGCCTGGAGATCTCTTCCCATCTCTCTCTCCTCCAAATTAACTGCCTGTTCGGGCATTATTTTTCAAGATACAGGTTTACTTGTCACTTCTTAATTGCTCTGATGTCCTCTTGTTTGAAGGACTGAACGGTTTGCCATCAAGTATTTTGATGGCAAAAAGTGCTACGCTGACAGGATCACTTCACTTATGAATTGCGCATAGGTACTTGCTGGCCCTTCCCCTTTTCCATCTGTTTCTTCAACCACTTCTTGTCACTAGATCCTACACTTCTGATAATTCCTTGTCTCTTTGTAGAAACTTAGTATCTTTTATTCCCTTTTTATTCTAAAGTAAATTTAAAAAAAAAAAAATTTAAAATCCCAACAACAAAAACCAACAAAAAACCCCACACACCTTCTACCTGTTTATTATGGTAAAGGAAAAAACTAATTCCAGTTGATCATCAGGTTTGAAACCACATGCTGTTTAGGCTGTGTTCTTGATCATCTGTAGCACTAGATCGTTTGCAGCTTTATAGGTACAGGTTTGGCTATTCTGCATCCAAATTTTGCATAACAAAATGCAACCAAATGGACAAGGGTAATTGTGCTGGTTGGCCTCCATTCCAGGGAATGGTCCCAGGCGCATGTAATTTATCGTTGTAGAGAGTTTTTATATAGTTTAGTGAAAGGAAACTGGAAAACATGAGTGCACGCTTAGTGAAACCTGGGGAAAGTTACTTCTCTTTGGTGTCTCGTCATTACTGAAGTTGGTGTCTCAGCAATACAGCAAGGATAATACTTCCCTTTTATTCACATTATGGCTGTTGTGCGAGACATTTGGGCCACAGAGTGTCTCCCTCTCTCTGTATAACACTCTGTCAAATCAGCCCCTGCACTGCTTCCAAGGCACTCCCCCAAAATCAGGCAATTAGTCTTCATAATGATGAAGACCGACCACTGTTCTGAGTGGAAAAGCCACTCCATGAGTAATGCAGTGCCAGCCACTCCATCAGTAATGCAGTGCCAGTGTTCATTGCTTTCACTTCTTGTTGTTGTTTTCTGAGCTCCTGAGGTGCAGGAAGGCTGGAGGCGAGAAGGTGTCAGCATCAAATACTTGGAGAAAGAACATTTATACTGCTATTTTGCTTTCCTCAATTATATATTGTATTAGCAGGGCAACAAGTAGGCAGAGAGCTTGCCTAGGCAGTGCTGGGGCAGTTCTGGCTTCATGCTTCAGAGCTGTCAGGGTGGCACTTTTCACCACTAAACACAGCTCTAAATTAAAACCAAGTGAAAATAGAGATTTTGCTTCAGAGCTTGATCGTGGAATTTTGTTCCATCCTTTTATTTGCTCAGTGACTAAGGAAAGGAACCACTCCCTCGGTAGGAGCATCCATTGAATTATAAACATGTGTGATATTAGAGCATCTTTGTGTATATTTATGTATGAAATCATTACAGTTGCTGTTTTAAAGATATCCATCTCTGTAGTACATAAAACCTTTGGCAGTAAAATTGTAAATCCACGCAATGGGGTGTTAAGCACGCAAATCCAATTAAATCCTTCAAACAGCTTTGAAAGCCTCTCCCAGAGGGTACAAAAACGGTTATTTGTGATTCTCTTGAACTGCCTTTTATGGCAGCTTGCTTAGAGTGTCTGTGACAAGTAGTCTTCTGGGGGTTTAACACTGCAAATGGTAGGTTCTTTAAACAAGCAAATGAATAAAGTTAAGACTTGGTTTTACTCTTTTAACAGATCCTACACAAATGGGAGGCCTCAGTATGCTGCTTCTAGCAGGGGAACATGCCCTGACTGCACAAGAGGTAAGGAACTCTCTTCTCTCCCTTAGCTCAAGCACTCAGTTTACAGGGAGCACTGAAGAGGAGTATTTGACCAGTGGGAAATTACATTTAAGATACATCTTGGGTAACCTTAGGTGGGACTGCAGTGTGAGTCTTGTATCCTAACCATGAATGTAGAGGTTAGGCCCAGTGTTTATATCGGTTCAATATTAACTCTGTTGACTGAATATTTGATCAAACCAGGCAAGTCTGCTCCATGAGAGGATATTGTCACAGGTAGAAGGGTTGAAATACAGTGCTGTGTTAACAAACAGGTGGTTTGCAAGCTCTTTTGGCCAAGGATTTCATATGCTTGTGCAATAGGCCTCACAACCGTGGCCTTGGCACTAATAGCAAAATAAATACCTAATAATTTCCGTATAGTCAGTGTTACTGCATATGCATTCTGAAACCATGCAAGTGCTAACAGGTAATCAAAGTATTGCAGTCTACTCCTATTCACTAAGTCTTTATGTCTAAAAAGAAGTTAGTAGTTCAGATGCCATCACAAACATTTTGGTTTTACAAAGGAGTCTAGTAAGTAAGTGTTCCTGCATATCTCCAGTAGTGCAGTGACCTCTGGTCTTTAGACTGATTATTGTTTATGATTATTTTTTGGGCCAGCTTTTGAAAATTGTGTTTCCTCAAATGCAGTAAAGATTCTAAACCTATTTAGATTTGGATAACTGAACAGCACTTCTGGTTTCCCGTCCTTGGGCATGTGGACAGAGGAGACCGAAGATGTTCATCTTTGCATGCCTGGTGGGACAACCTATGGTTGGATTTGCATACTTATGCTTGAAAACAGTTTCACGCATTTGGGAGATTAGCAGAATATGCTAGGACATGGTGTGACAGGCTTGGGGAGAAGCTCAAGAATTCATTGTAGTGTTGGTAAGCTGCTTTCCTCTTCAGTGGAGGGAGGTAAGTTGTGCCACGTTTGAGTTGGTATTGACATGGGGGAGAACTTGTACTAAGGTGACTGCTGAGGTATTGTCAGTGAAGAGGTTCAGAAGTCCCTTAACTGTGGAAAATATAGGTATTGTTTTTATATGCATGTAAGTATATAAATATATGTTGTATATTTAAACCCCTGGCATTTCTATTTAAAAAAATAAAAGGACAGATGCGGTGTCATTATTAAAAGAATGTTCTAAATGATACCCTGTAGTCTTCATTATCATTTAAAAGGGGTGTGTGTACACATAAGATACACATGCATATATATATATATAGTTCTTAAACTGGGGGACTGCCGGACGTAGATTACCTGTCAACATGCAGTTTGACTGCTTGTGCATATGCGTGATTATGCAAACTTGGGTGGCCTCGTAAGCATAGGTCTTAAATACTGTTATCATCTTGAAAATTGTTAATAGAAAGGAGGGCAGCACTGGCATAGTTTGCTCAGAATTTGGGAGAAGATGAGGGAAATCACACTTAGAGGTCTGCTAATCCCATGTAAATGTATTCAATGCTCGCTGATTTTCTGTCAAGTGTATGTTAAATGTTAAATGTATAGGGACTTTCCAGGTCAGATGTTTAACCTTTGAGTTGTCAGAAGCCCAGATATCAGGTAACAAAGTGAGCAGGTGCCAGCGGGAGGATGGGAAGAGGCACAACAGCAATATTCACAAAATTGCCTTTAGGCTTCAGTCGCCATCTCTGTATGTGGCTGGTTATGTTCCTATTTTTGTAATTTTTTCCAATAGATTAGAGAGTTTTTCTTCTGATAAGAGTTCAGTGTCGGTACACGATTGATTTCCAAGCAGTGGCTGGAGTTACTAAGCAGATAGGCAGGCAAGGCTACAGACCTTACCAGCAGTAAACAAAAGACTCAGATACGCAGTGAGTTTCCACCTGGCTTTTGGGTCCTTTCATCAGTTACGCAAGACTGTTGTGTGTATATGAGCATGTTTTGTTGAACACCTGAGCAGAAACACCAGAGGCGTCTGCTCCAGTTCCTGTTGTGCTAGGCAAAGCCTGGTCCTCACAGGAGGTTTGTTAGCAGAAAGGCAGAAGCTGTGTGAGGAGTGCGCCTTGCTTGCCTGCTCACCTCCCTCCCTCCCTCCCTCCCTCCATCCACATCACCTTTGCTTGCCTGTCGGGCCCTTTGCTTGCCTTACAGCAGCACCTAGTGGCCTCTCTGTAAGTTACAGCCCAGAAATCCCCGAATTTGGTGTGTAGTCCAACCTGGCTCTTCTACCAGTTTCACCTCTTGCCGCTGCCCGGCACATCAGGACGGCATTCAAGCCTGGCATCAGTCAGCACGGAAGGTGAGCCAGGGGCTGTTCTTCGCCTTCGTGCAGTGTGATCCGTTTTAGAGCAGATTATGGTAACCTGCAGGGAAAGGAAGGCTCTGGAGGCATTATCCTTGCAGTTTCCTTCTCTTCAAGAACAAAAGGTTGTCTTGCATGCAGTGCTGGGTCTGCACAGGGTGGTATTGCCCAGGGTGTAAATCAGAAGTGAAGGATATCTTGGTGCAGCTGAGGATAAGCTGGGAGGAGGAAAGAGGAGAAGAAATAAGGAGATCTTAAGGATGTTTTATTACAGCAGGAATAATAAATTTCCCACAAGTCAGGAGTGTGTGGGGAGCAGCAGAGTAGAAGAAACAAGCTCAAATTAGTGCTTCTATCAAGCAAAGGCAACAGCATTAACTTTTTAAAAGATAATGGAAATTGATAGGAAAAGTATGGTTGTTCTAACCACAAAATCTCTGAGTTACTGGGCACCAGCAATCTGTCCATCACACAAAAAGCTGTAGGAAACTGGGCTTCACACCTTCCGCGGCTGGTGGTTCCTGTACCATAAGGTGAACAAGCCCGACCCCCAGCATGTTTCTTCAGAGGCAACAAGAAGACTCGTTTTCCCTCTCTGCGCCTGCCTGGGGAGTGAGCGCCTCACAGCACTTGCGTTGCAGGGACTGAGCTGTAATAGCCGCCCCCAGCAGGGCTTCACTGCTCCCAACTTGGAGCTGGTTTGTGTTGACATGTTCATATGGTGCCCTCAGATAGGTGGAGGAAGCTGTGAAGCCACGTCTCCGGTATGGCGGGTGGGCAGAGTTCAGGCATGCGTGGCCCTGCAGCGCCCGCCTCAGGGAGCAGAGAAGTCTCACATGCCTTCCTTGTTCGCATCGCTTCTCCTAAGCAGAGTAGTGCCCTTTTGTAGGGCACATTGAATAGGCTTCGCTTGTGAACAAACTGCTTCAATAGACACCACAAAATAAGCTATGTAAAGCAGCTGGTTGAACTGCAGAAAATTTAAGTTTTATAGGGAATCAAATCCCAAATTTGGTTATTCCTGGGAGAATCCAACTAGTGAAGTGGCCTGAAATAAATGAGTGCTCAGATGTGCAAGCAGCATCCTTACATATTTCACACCAGTGCAGAGACTCAGACCTTCAGAGATGGGTCACTCAGCAGCAAGATCAATGTGCATCCCTGGTACAATCCATACTACTGCTGAGACACAGACATCTTAAACAGATCATACAGAAACATGAGAAAAGTGGTAATAAGTATTACATCAGTGAAAACAGTAACACAGGCCATTGAAAAAACAAGAGCCAGGTATTAAAAATACATTCTTTGTAACCCTTTCAGTTGGTATATTCCCATAGTGCACTGATAAAACATCCTGCTTGGTTTTTAATAAATATAATGGAAGCATAAATCATAGGAGGCACTCTTACTGCTTGGTTTCATGACAGGGAAGAAACAAATTCGACTGTGTATGTAAGCAAATTGTTGTGTGGCAATAGTTCCTGTTGGCCTATGGGCTGCTACACTTGGACCTGATGTTTTCAGGGGAGTATGGGTAGCAGATTCCTGAAACAAAATGCTGCTGGTACTATTGTAGTGCAAAAGCATCTCAAACAAACAGCAGCAGGAGCAGCAGTACAAACTACACGTGCTCTAGGCTTGGCCGTTCTGTGGTGCTTTGTCCTCACAGCCAACAGATATAGTTGTTAGCTAAATCTCATGTGTGCATTCACTAATAAATGCTATTGACATACTTGTTTTGGTAATAAATAAGAAAAAAATACAAAAAACAGAAAGGTTTTAAATAACCTGAAATGTCATCAAACATTAAAAATTTTGGGGGGGAGGGGAAGTCCATCCTGTTATTTATCTTCCTAAAATACCTCAAAGCCTCCTTCTGTTTCCTGTAAGCCACATCACACACCTTATTTTACACTAACGGTACGTCATGCTTCTGTAGGAGTTACACATGTAAATCTTTTACATTCAAAGGTGACATTTAATGAATGTATCATTTGATACAATTCCTTTACAGAATGATGCTTGGTTGACACATTTCTGGCTAATAAGAATAGTACGGCTAAGCTCCTGTGTTAATTCAAATAAGACTACTTTTGAACAGTCATTTCTTTGTATTTTGATTTCAGAAGTTACGATTCTTTCTTGCACTGTGTCTTAAGCACTCCTAAATGAATATTCAGGTACATTGTTTGAGCAATTTTAGGGTTGTGGTACCCTTAATTACTTATTTTTCATTCTGTTACGTGATTGAGGATTATTTTTCTAGTAAACATTTCTGTCCCTTAGCAATGCTCAGTGTCTTCAAAACCTTTTTTTTTTTAGCTTTAAATAATTTTCACATTCAGAATGGTAGTACAGATACAGCAGTGTTTTATAGCATCACCAATACAAGGTAGTTGTGTGTGTAGCCTAATATCATCAGTTTAGTATTCTGTTGCATTCTTTTGCAAGGTTTGGAATTATAAAAGAAAAACAAAAATCCTTGGTATTTTTGTGGTCTTTCTTCTTAGGTGCATTAAAATGCATTTTCAAATGCATTAAAATGGGTGCTAAATTATGTCACCTATGAATTTGATTTAACCTGTCCAGAACTGTGAAACATTAGATTGCCCACCTTCTCTTAAACACTCCTTGTTACTGCTGCCTGGTATTTCATTTTGCTCACTGTTGTTCTTAGCTTGAAAGAAGAACCTTTGAGGTCTTACTCTGCACACTCTTTGTTTCAGGTTTCCTCAAATACTTGCCAGTCCGATGCAGCTAATTCTACAGAAGCCTGTCCGAAGTCATCATTGTTTCAGTTTGCAGAGGTGAGTGTCTTTAAAAAGGATTGTCTTCCCCATTGTTTCCTTTTAAGAAGCATATGATGTTCAGCTGAAAGAGAAATTGAAAATCTTTAGCTGAAATTCATGCTTTTGTTCCTTCTTCTTGGGTTTATGGTACCAGATCATTTATCAGGTCGATAGGTCAGATTTAAAGTGCAGGAGAGTGTGTTTAGGAAGATGGTGGAAACCCTAGCGCAATAATGGAGCTGTGGTTTAAGCAGTAATTTAGAGGTGTGTCATTCCTGCACTTAGTTTCAAACTAGAGTCTTACTAACTAAAGTTCTAACAGGTATATTCAGATGTTACATTATGGCCTTTACCTGTTGTGTCCTCTTTAGTCGTTGACTCCATCAAAAATAACTGTAGTTCTGGAATTTCCAAAATTTTCTTATATTCTATAACCACCAAATAGCTCTATTCAACTATGCTTTGTTTTTGCAATGTACATTTTTGTCAACATATTTCCAGATATTGCTGGAAGTGCAACTGTGTTGGTTTTTGGAGGGGGGGTGTTGGGGTTTTTTAGTTTGTTTTGGTTTTTTTTAAAGTATACACTATTTCATCTAAGTTTTAATGGATTTCAGTGTCAGAAATAACAGGATAAGAGTGAGGTTGCAAAGAATCCTAGTCGTCTGCAAGTATCACTTGTTTATATCTTACCAACTTTTGAAATGGTCATAATCAAATGACATAAATATTTAGCTGTATAATATTGATTGTACGGGATGCTGGATGGTGTTTGAGTAAGTGCATATAGAAAGAAATTTTGTCATAGGAGGGGCTTCTTTTTATTACCTGTTTTCACACTGGCCATGAATCTGACTCCTATGTCTTTAATACTCGTTGCTGTGTGTACCTTCATACTCTTCCCTAAACGTCGTCACTTATGGAGCAGATACGCTGCCATCCTGGCACACAGAAGATGTGATTTTTGTTTTGTTTTGCTTTTTGTTTGTTTTAATATCAATCCACAAGTCCTTGAGTTCCAACTCAAGTAGTAGGCAGCAATTGTGTTGTGTGCTGCAAGATATGCTCTTGCTAAGGGCTCGTGATCGCTGACTTTCCCTTACCATCAAAGAACTTCAGTGGGTGCCAGGAAACAAGCTCATCTGCACCCCTAAAACATGTGGTTTAGAAGTAGCTCACTGGTGATCAGTAATTAGAAATGCATATTAGCTAGTCTTAATTTTCAAGGATGTTAAACAGCCTGTAGTGAGGCTGCACCTAACCAGTGCATGGTAGGTATGCGTGTCAATGGCAAAGTAATCGGTACTTGTACCAAGGTCTAACATTAATCAGAGGTGTCATTTGCAAGAAAAATAACTGACACAAGTTAAACAGTATAAAATGCAGTTCCCTTGGTGTCTGGGATGGGTCTCTTCTTAAAGTACCTGCATGTGTTGTGTCCCTGTCTATACTTAGCTTCTCTGCTAGGTAGCAGTGGGTGCTCTATTAGCACCACCATTCTGCAGTCTCAGGTCTTTCACTGAATTCTGAAATAAAATATGGTGGTTTTGCTGCTAACCATCTTTTGACGTATCAGTGGGCAAACAGAAGTCCTTCAAAAAAGTCTTAGCCTGTTCTATTTATTCTAGGAAAGACTTTCCTTCTGAAAAATAATTCAAAATCACCATTTCAAGAGCACCCATTTATCTATCTCCTGGAAAGCAGATACTGTTCTTTGTACAGAAGTGCTGGAACTTGTTTGCATGCTCTTAGGTATCAGGACTCTTTCTGTATGACGGATAACAGAAATTTAGCATATTGAAGTTTGACATTAAATAAGAGTTAAGTAATATAAAAATAATTGTTTTCCTGACAGATCTCTTCAAGCACATCACAGCCTGGAGTCCTGGGAGCTGTAAAACAAACTGAGGAGTCTGCATTGTTTCAGTTTGCTGAGGTATAATGGCTGAAATATGGTGGGGGAGGATGGGAAGAAGCAAGGAACCAGTAAGAGTTGTCACTGAATGGCTAAGCACCGTGTCTCATAATGGATTCATATCAGCAGACGTTTATCTTTGTGGCAGCATTGAGTTAAGAAAATTGTGGGGGGAATAACCAGTGATTTGAAGAGATGTTGGTCAGTTCTACCAGCTGTAGCATGCACAAAAGATACTGAGCTTGTGAACATTACCTGGCCTATCATACCAAAGGACCACTGCAGATGTTTTTCTCCAAATGGCCTTTTAATTTGCATCTAGGGAAAAAAAAGAAAAAAACAACAAATAAAAGACATTCTGAAATGACACTGTGCACTGCCTGTGGAGGAGGCTGCAGCAGTGCAAAATGGCAACTGTCTGAGAGGCAGGAATCTTCTGGAAAATAAACTTGCAGATCAAAGGAAGTTTATCACAACATCTACAAGGATATGTAACAGCATCATTAGGTGGTGACTTCCAAAGCCTATACATTACCCATAAGTATGTAAGCCATCCTTCTTCCTCCATGTATGGAAGATTTGGAGTTCTTAAAGATTGCTTTTAAGAATTTCTTCTCCCATGTGTTTAATCTGCCTTTATAGATTGATTTTCCACACATACACTCTTCCTGCCCATTTTGGGGAGCCTGGTACTGCTTGCAGAATCAGTTACGCAAAAGGTATATTCAGGATGTGTCTGAAAAGACTAGGTTTGGATCTGGTGCTATTGTAGAGGAGCATAATTGGATGAAAAGATAGCCTGCTCGTTATTGGGTGTGCTTACAGAGGTTTGACTACACACAACAGGCTTCTCTGGTAAATGTTAAGCTAGTTGTGTGCTTGTGGTTTTTGGCTTGGCTAGGGTGGGCCTTGATGTGTTTGTTAGGAGCTCCAATTAAGAAAAAAACAATTTACGGATTCAGGTGCCCCAAAATACCTGACTACAAAACACCCCTATAAAAGATATAATAGAGTTAGTATCTCTAATCATGAAGATGTTTTCATATGTACCACCTTTTTTTAAAGTTAAAGTTAATTTGGAAAGTTCTTTTGAGAAGATTAGTGGCATTTAGCAGGATGTGCTGAAGTAAATGATAAAAGCTGGAGAACATTTCGTGTGAATTTTATTGCAAAATATTGTACGAGTGAATATGCTAACTTAGTTTCAAAAATCTTAGCCATCTTACATTTTAATTAAATGGCAATTCTAGATATCTGCAAAGTTGCACAGATATGAACTGCCTTTAGTACAGTATTTCCAAATTGTCATGTAAAACCTGACTTAGCCATCCTTTTCAAAATTTCACAGAACCTAAAATAATTTCCTCTCCTAATTGAACAAACAACAAAATGTTGTTTGAAACATGAAAATTGTCATACGGATGTGACAGTGCATTGAGTTGCATACCACTATGCTGAGCCAGCTCATTTGGCACATTGGAGTGCATGTATGAATCATCAAACATTAGGTAGAAGAGGTGCTTAGGAAGTTAATTAGAAACTGGAGAGGACAGTTTTAAAGTCAGGGTTAATTGTTTTTTCTTGTAAAATATATTAAAATGTCTGTATGGTCTGGAGGGGTTGTATTTTGGGGTGGGGTTTTTTTTCAGTGTCTGGAAATAAGGGACAGAAATCTAGATAAGCAAAAAAAAAAACCCAAAACAAAACACAACAACAAAAAACCTTGTTGGCCATGATTATTCCTCCTGTGTTATACTGTTGTTGTGAAACCTTAATGGCAGTGACTAACATCATGTTTTATCTATAGCAAGAGAGAAAGGGCATTTTTTTAAGATTGCAGCCTGATTTCATTTAGGTTGTTGCAGGGGAAAGTATTGAGCACGCTACAGAACCTCTTTAAGCTTTCTCCGCGCTGCTATTAAAGCTGCTTGTGGCCTTTCAAATACCAGGGCTTTCATTTGCACAGGATGTCTTTGTCAAGTTTGGCAAAAATCCCGTTCTTACTGTGCCACTTCTTACTGGGTCCTGTCTATATGAACGCATTATTGCTTTTAGTAAGCTAAATTATGGTAAGCAATTTGCAGTAGGCTGCTGTCAGCAATGTACAGTGCTACAAAAGAAAAGAGAGAAGGAGAGAAAGTAGTTATTTAGCCAGTAGCCAAGTAGACCTGTGAAGAAATGTGAAGTCTGCTGTGGTCTGATGTGCCTGGAGACTTTTGGCAGCTGTCCCAGCTCAGTTTTGGTTCTGGCCGGGTGTTCTTCATATGTTCCCTTTCTCTTTGCCGCTTTTGCAGCAGGGTGAGTAAGAGTGCCTCTTTGTGAAGACAGCGATCCCATTGAGTAGATCTGTCGTTTAAAATGGACACCTTTACCCCAGGAGTACAAGTTCCCTGTCACTCAGAACCAGCTTGTTATATGTAGACGTAGTATGGGATTCTTTTTGTCTTTACAGCCTCAGTTAGCCTTTCATCTGGTTGTCTGTCCCAAGTGCGAGTCTTCAATTAAAGCTGTTGAGGATATGGCTAATGAGGCCTGCCCAGTGAAAATCCCTGGAGAAAGACTTCGTTGGGTCCTGCAGGTGCGCAGGCGAGCGCCTTGGAGGTCTTCAAAGATGATGTGACATCCTCAGAAGAGGTTTTTGAAATTTGGATTGTTGCCAAGTTATGCTCTTGGTTTTCTTGTTTGGTCTGATCTTGGAAATACTTGGCCCTACTTTTTCTCCTTCTCATTGGCACCTTTATGGAAAGCCATTATATAGGCCAGTGATTTCTGAGCAGTGGGCTGTGTTCCTTAGTACGGTGGCTGTTTGCAAGCTGTTTGCCTACATGGGCTGGTTGCTGTCATCCTCCTTGCCATGTGAGGGAAGCAGAGCAGATGGGACCCCTTGCTCTCTTGGTCTTACTGGGTGTGTGTTTGGCAAACGTGAACAGATGGCGATGACTGCCTCATAGAGAAGAAACACAAGTACCTCTTAGATTTAGCTAACTAAACTCTTATCCATTATTAAACAAAGACAATGCTTCCTGAGAGTGTAAGCAATAAAATTGCTAGTTTACCCATCTTCAAAATAAAATTAAGCCAAAACCCACAGACTCATCACTTTCAGCTGCTTTTCTGAAGTTTTTCTCTAGGTGATTTAATAAAAAAAGCAATCTCATGCAACATGCAACAAGGTGTAATTTTCTTTGCTAGTCCAGCAGGTTACTATCATTTAGGAAAAATGCATGCTTTGATTTTTGTCCCTGCTGCATTCTCACATACTCACTTTGAGCAGGCTCGTGGGCAACCCTTTCTGTTTATTTCTGTGCTGAACAGAAGGTTTGAATCCAAAACTTTTGGTCAAAATGCCTTGAAATTGGGAGTGTGAGAGCTAGTCAGTATCTTCTCTTCTGACCTTCCCTTAGGTAAAGCTGTAATCTTCCCAGGTAAAGCCGTTACATAATATAGATGAAGATATTTGCTGTTTGCCTATATACTGAAATTCTTAAATATCCATGTTAATGTGAGGAGAAGGACTTGGGGGTGTTGGCGGATGAGAAGCTCAACATGAACCAGCAACGCGTGCTTACAGCCCAGAAAGCCAACTATATCCTGGGCTGCATCAAAAGAGGTGTGACCAGCAGGTCGAGGGAGGTGATCCTGCCCCTCTACTCCACTCTTGTGAGACCCCACCTGGAGTACTGCGTCCAGCTCTGGGGTCCCCAGTACAGGAGAGACATGGAGCTGTTGGAGCGAGTCCAGAGGAGGGCCATGAAGCTGATCAGAGGGCTGGAGCACCTCTCCTGTGAGGACAGGCTGAGAGAGTTGGGGTTGGTCAGCCTGGAGAAAAGGCAGCTCCGGGGAGATCTAATTGCGGCCTTCCAGTACCTGAAGGGGCCTACAGGAAAGCTGGAGAGGGACTGTTTATCAGGGGTGTAGTGACAGGTCAAAGGGTAATGGGTTTAAGCTGAAGGAGGGTGGATTTTGATTAGATGTTAGGAAGAAATTCTTTACTGTGAGGGTGGTGAGGCACTGGCACAGATTGCCCAGAGAGGTTGTGGATGCCCCCTCCCTGGAAGTGTTCAAGGCCAGGTTGGATGGGGCTTTGGGCACCGTGGTCTAGTGGAGGGTGTCCCTGCCCATGGCAAGAGGATTGGAACTAGATGATCTTCAGGGTGCCTTCCAGCCCAGGCCATCCTGTGATTCTATGAAATGCCTATTCTAGGAAGCAAATGAAAAAGTGGTACCATGACACATGCTTCTTATGCAAACTGGAATGTATAATAGCTAAAATGCTGACCTGCATTGTAATAAAAGATAATTTGATGCTAATGATCCTCAAGTTAAACCTCTACATAAGAAGGAGCTATTTGTGGTTGTAGTACTGCAGGTTCTGATTATTCTAATTAAAACTGGAACATGGTGTTAAGGGAATAAGATCTTTCACTCACTGAGAGCTGATTGATCAGCCATCCTCTTACTTCTGATATTTGGCCAGCAACTTCAGCAGAATGAGTTTATGTCTCTTGCTGTTTGTTTTCTCAACTATGAAGAGGGTTTGTTTTTTTTTTCCTGAAGTGAGATGTTGGCTTCCTCTCTTTCTATTGGTACTACAAGGATCTCGCTTGCATTTTGCTAGGAGTAGCCATTCTCCTGTCAAAACGAAATTCTTTACTCTTTCCTCACATTGTGTATCAAGAGGCAAGATATGCCTTCATGTTCTCAGGTTATACTTAAGTGTATGGGTTTTTTTGTGTCCCTTTTCTGCCATTCATGTTGCACTGAAAAAGTCATTAAGGGCTGAGAATTTTTAACAGTACAAAGATAAAAAGTTGAAGCCCTCTTCCTGCAAAGTGCAATGTACAAGATCACTTACTCCCATGGAGTCCTGAGCAGGTAAATTTGTCTCAAAGCAAAACTAGGATTTTGAATTATTTTAGTTGAATGTGCATTAATAATAATTTTTAATATTAAAGTATTATTCACTGTATTTTAAAGAGCTTTCAGTAAAATGAATGTTCTGGATTTTGGCGAGGTTGGGGGATTGTAATGAATCTCCTCAACAACTGAAAAGTAAACTCTTCAAATAACCTAGTTCAAAAGAAATTCAATATAAAGTCTAAGCCAGTAACTTTTGCATCTGAAAGATCATGGTCATAAGCATGATTTTTGTGATGATGCAGATGCCACGGAAACAGTGGTGGTCTTACCCTTAATCTTAAGGCTTTTCGAGGCTTCCAGGTCAAATACTATCATGTAATGCCATGCTAAAAAAAGATCAAATACGAGAAATAATGATTAATTCATGTGTTGGTGAACTGACAATGCTGCACTTGGAAGCAAGTCATAAAAAATTTGCTGCAAAAGCAATTCCCTGAAGTGCAGTGGTAGTTATTTACTCAGTGCTGGTGCTGGCATATCAATATCTATTTAGAAGGCTAGATTTGATCTCCAGACATAAGGTCTTACTTCTTTTTTCTAAATAAAGTGAAACAAGCAGTGCCTGTGAGGACAAATGGTCCTTTTCTATGTCTAAGCAAATGGGAAATACTGCCCAGGCTTTCTGGGAGTATTTTATTGACCACCACAGTTCATGGTTTTAAAGCAATAGGTATGTCTTGTTCACTTAGTCACATAAAACACACAGCATGATAGTGTATTAGCTGTGGACAATACAAATGTCGAAGAGAATCCATGAGCCTACTCTAAGGAAGAAATTCTGTATTTGCTTGTATGCTGCTGACTTCTAAATACCTGCTAAGTGTTTCTTGGATGGATTTGTCTATCTGAAGTGAGGCCTTCTGCCAGAAAGATCTAAAAGTAACTGATTCAAATAACTCAGTTTTTTTGTTCTTTTTCTCCCTTCCTTTCTGTCTTTCCTGTGTGCCACTGAAATATTTTTCTCCTCTGTTCATTTAAAACCTAGATCTCATCAAATACTTCCCAGTTGTCAAGTCCTGAGCCACTAAAGCACTGTGGGAAGTCGGCACTCTTCCAGTTGGCAGAGGTAAAGTTACACCCAGTGGGAGATGTGTGTATCTTTTTGTGTTATACACAATGGGAAGATGCATGTATCTTTTCCCAAAAAAAGTGTGAATTGTGTAAGGTTTGCTCTGGCAGCAAATTTAGTATTTCCAGAAGCACAAATTAGTAATTAATGGAATAATAAGAAAATTAGGCAGTTGCAATGGCCCCAGGGACCTAGCATTTTTAATAGACTTGTTAATATGCATAGTTTCTTGGAAACCACACAGAAAAACTTATGCTTCTTTTTAGAAAAAATAGCCTTATAACTATAATTAAAACAACGCTCAGTACAATAGCAAAGACAAGAGTCAACAGCATTCTTCTTAATGAGGAGCTGAATGCCAGGATTCAAAAAGTAAGGCTTTGGTATAAGAACTGGAAGGTGTGTTGCTGAATGGGAACCAAGAATAAGAAAAGAAATGTCGACTTTGAGATCATCAGCAATCTGTATGAAGAGTTGGAAGTTGAAGGAGTGTATTAAGTTCTGAAATTGGCAGCTGTCGGCAGTAATCAAGAATACTAGGTCAGGTTTCCCAACAGTCCTAGAAATTCTCTGTGAATCTTAAATATACCTTGTAGAGGTCTCCCCTTTAATATGTATGAATCACTCAAAAACCTTTGAGGCTTGGCATACAAATATTCTTCTTGATGATTGAAAGATGAGGATACATGCTGCATTCCAGGTAAATAATGGAGGATGCTAGCACCTTAGTAGTAGACTTATTAAAAAACTTTTTTCACCTCTTTCCCTAAAATCACTTCCTTTTTCCGTGAGGGAAATGGTTCTCTGGATCCCATCAAGTGGCATCCAGCCATATGTTCTTGCTGGTGAGGTTAATGCCTCCCAGGGTAAAAAAAGACAGAGTTTGGGAGCACTGAAATAAAAGTATATCATGCCTTGTTCCATGGATAGTAACACTACTGTCTTTGTAGAAAGTTAAATGAGTGGAAGAAAACCTTCTTTACCCTACAGGCAGTCCCGGACAGCAGTAGGGTTTTTGGGTATGTGCTACAGAGTCAGCAGAGCCTATGCAAGGGTGATTGCACCTAGCTGTGGTCCGTAAGGGCACTTGGGACAGCAGAAAGGCTAGTGATACTTAATCAAGGAACCAGAAGTTTTTGAGATGTCCTCTGTTACAGGACAGCAGCAGGCTTTGAGTAGTGGTGTTCAGAGTAAAGCTGTTGCTGAGTCCAGCCTGACTTTTAAAACAGTAAAGAGCCTGACTTTGTAAAACATTTGTCATTAAAAGTTGTGATCTGACTGTGAAGCCCTTGTGTGGGAGAAGGACAGGTGCTTGTCCACAGGAGTGTAGAGTTTTTACTGCCATTGGCAGAAAAAAGCAAAGCTGAGTCTGGCAGCGTGATGTTTCCATGTTGGACTGGTTTCTGTGATCTCTCCCTCAGTGGTTGCTCAAATGGATTCCTACAAGCCTAACTTAGTATACAAAATGAATGTTAAAGGCTCTGATTCAAACTGAGAAAAGCATGGCGGACATGCTAAGCATATCCTCCTTATCAGTAGCTCTTGTAGGACATTAGTGCTATTGACTTGTTTCCAGTTTTGGAGATCTCTGTAATGTTGGATTGTAATTGGATAAATAAAATAAGAGATTCAGCTTAACTTTTCAGATGGCAGTTCAGGACCTGGTTTGGAGCATTCCAAATAAACTATGTTTATTACCACCTCAAGGGTGGCCTAAGTTTGCAAGTTCATTTGGCAGACATCTGGGCCAAATTCCAATTTAATTCCAAAAACCAATGTAAGTCCAAACCGCAGATGCTGTGCACTGGAGGGGACTGGGCTGCTGTCTCCCTGTTGCTGGCATGGCAGGGGTCTGGCACGTGGGAGCCTGTCTGCTGCAGCACACCACACTGCTCTGCTCCTCATTTATCTCTCTGCTGTGGATTAACCAATTTTATTGTCCCCCTTCCCTATGCCTTCCTTTTTGATATGTCACAGTATTTCACAGATGGTGATAAAATAAAATGCAGAAGTTGGTTAAATTATTTGCTAAAACATTCTGAGAATTTCTGAGTTTCCAAAAAACAGTTGGAGCAGCTGCTCTGCAGTCTGAAGCCTGGGTGGCTGTTGCTGATCAGCTCTGCTGAGTCTCTTGCTGTGCCTAAGTGTGTGCTTTGTGGCCTTCAGCGCGGAGGCATGAGGGTGAGGGGAGGCAGTGGTGGGAGCGCATGTCATCTCCACGAGGCGAGGACAGGGAGGCCACTTGTGCTGCAGAGGGCCACCAGCACTAGCAACAGTTGGCTGTAAGCCACATTTGGAGACCTGAGCTGTAATGGTCAGAGCTTGGGAGATGCTGTGAAGAGCTGCAACTTCCAGGAGACATAGAGATACAGCATTGTTAAACTTTTTTGTTTATTTCCTTTATAGCAATAGTGGGTTGATTTCTGTAAAAGCGATTTTGTGGGCCCGTGTTGGTTGAAAGCAATGAAAACTGAGTTTGGGGGTTAGGGGGAGCTAAAAGCTTGTAAATACTTTAATTCACCAGTCCTGGGAACTCCCCGTCTTTCTCGGGAAGCAAGTATAAGAAACCTGCAAGCTTGACCAGAGATTATGGGATATGTCTTTAAAAATAGAATGTTTTCTTCTTCATACTAATGACCAATCCTGAGACTGATCCTTTTAATTTGTTTAGAAAAAGATGATTTCTTTGCACATAGCTCAAAACTGATACAAAACGCTATATTGAAGCAGATCACGACCTGATACAGGAAAATGATTCTGGAGAATAATCAGCTACCTCCTTGCCAGGCAGCCGTCTGTAGTCCTGAGTAGTAAAGGTTACCAAAGGCTGGAGGGCTCCTGCTTCATTTTTGTTTCACAGCATCTCTTTTATGAGTCCTATAGGACACCAACAGGCAGTGCCATAGCCTGACAGAAGTAACCTTCTTCAGCTATGACAATGAAATAATTTTGCAATCAAATGTCCAACTAAGCCTTCAAAAACACCACCAGCTGTGTTGCATACTGGCATAGATTGGTGCTTAGCTGCTGGAGTCTGCTCATGTGTGAGAGAGCGTGTGCTTTAGTTCATCCTACTCTTCAAAGGGAGTACTGACAAGATGATCCCCAAATCTGGAAATAGCTTTTAGTGTCCAGTGGTATTACCCATCGGAGCAATGGTGGAGCAGGGCTTTATTTATAACAGCGTGCACAGGTCTGCACTTCTTTTTCAGTATGTAATCTTACGAATGAATTTTGGGAAGAGGGAGGAAATAATACATTCAAAAGCTGTGTGGTAAACGTTAAAGAATTGTGCTAGAAAAACAATGTTTTTTCTCCTCTATTCTTATTCTTCAGATTTCTTCAAGTACATCGCATTCAAGTCCTTCTGATTTAACAAAACAGTGTGGAACATCAGCATTATTTCAGCTGGCAGAGGTAATATTAAAATACTGGTGACTAATTGCCACAGGTGCAGTGGGGCAGAGAAGTTAATGACATAGATTGCTGAAGTCTGGATGGCAGAACACTGCTACAGTTATAATTACACTGTTGCTTATAGAAGCATAAATGGCCATGGCTTGGGTGCCACAAGTCAAGATTTCCCCAGACTAGCCATCAACTTGGAGGTTTCTAAGAGTCTGTGCTGCAGCTGAGAAGAAGTGCTAGTTCCTGGTAGGAAAGGGACTTCCCAATCACCATTGAAATTGTTTCAGTTCCTTGTTTTAGCCTTTGGGCTTTTGACTGCTTTGACCAGGTAGGCAAAAGGAGTGGAGAGAGTGGGCTGGATTAGTCTGTTACTCAGATTAGGGCATTGCAGTTACAAATACCTGTTAAAGGTCATTAGTTGCTTTCATTTTATTTTTGCTTTTCATGCCTACCATTTTTTGAAGTGGGGAATAAACAGGTCAAGGTCAATAACTTCTATAGAAACTCTGCTATGATACTCTCAGCAGATCCTCCTTCTGGGAACAGTTAAAACCAATGGCCTCTTATTGAAATGTTGTGGGGTGGTGGGTTTTTTTTGTTTCTAAGCTGTTTTTTTTTTACGCATTCTCAATCTTAAAGACTGTGAATTGCAAGTTTAAGGCTCACAAAACAGAAGTTGCTTTTTTGTAGCCACATCTTTAGCCTTCTGTACTACTGGCTACTGCAGAAGCAGCACAGGTATAAAGAAAAAAAAAATCCATTGGCATGGGAGGTGTGTGTGTCTTTAATTGACAAAATATTACTGCTGTCCAATGAGTTGCATTTTAAAGATTGATCTTAGTACAAAGTGTTCTATCATTGGTGTTATGCTCGTGTATATACTAGTGTAAGAGGTATTTTTTAGTTTGCAAGGAAAAAATGCCTTGCTGATTTGAGAAATCTAAAACTGACCCAAAGGGAACCCAGTGATCTGGAGGGTACATCCATACTGACCACGTGGCCCCTGGGCTGAGATGCGGGATAGGGAAACTCCTGATGTGTGGTTCAAAGCAAGCCTCTTCAATCTGGTTTTGCTCTAGGTGGCTGTTTGGTTGACATTTGTTTTAAAAACAAAATAGCACTAGGAATTCAGCTTGGGGGCTTTGAGAGGGAGAGAAAGAAGAAGAAAGCATGTCTTCCCAAGTGCAACTGCTTGATGCTGTGAAGGACTACCTACCCTCTGCAGCATATACAGTGTCAGCGTAGCTTTCTGGTGATCCAAAACCAAGAGGATCTCCCAAGACAGTGCTGCAGGAACATGGCAGTTTGAGGACCTTTTTACATCTCTTTTTTTTTTTTTTTTTTCAAATATCGCTGTTTTTCAGATAGTATGAGGGGTTTGGTTTCCATTAATCTTATCTCCAGGAGGAGATAACCATGGCAACAGCTGCTGCTTTGCAGTTCTTTGCAAAATAAGTCTGTGACATGAGAAGATAGATTTGGAAGGCTTTTTCCTACCTTCCAAATTATTTTGCACATTCAAGTAAAAGAAAATAATCTTAGTTGCTGAGATGATTCAATTAACTTCCCTCCCCCCCGCTTCAGGGCAATTTGGAAAATGGAGGAAAGGCTTGTCTATAGGGACATTTGGGGGTATGGATGTGAGATTTCAAGTAACTTGTCTATGGCAGTAGTGAGAGATACTGTATTGTTCCATTGCATTTAGGGTATTCTGAAAAATCAATCTAGCAGTGGGTTTCCAGGTTATATAAAAGGCACTTAAAGAATCATGGAAACACCACTGAGATCAGTTGGAGTCTTTTTCTATGAGAGCGGTAGAACCCACCAGCCTTATTCTAGCACTTGGCCATTATCACGTTGCATCAGTTTCAGTAGGGCTTGAGCATATTTTTCAGTGCTGTCCTTTAGCATTGTTTGCTTTCCTGAACTAAGATGCCAGAGAAATTCCCTGTGTAATGCTCCTGTTAATATAGGCAAGTAATATTAACAGTTGATGTTTGTTTCATGGGACTATTTTTAAACTCATTTTAGATGTGCCTTGCTTCAGAAGGAGTAAAAGTGAAAGAACCTGGGAAAACAAAAGTGGAAGCACTGGAAGATTTGGGAAGGGAAGTTCCAGAAGAAATGGAAGTAGAAGAACTGGAACAAACAACAATAAAAGACTCCTGTAAAGGAAAAGTAGAACAATTGGAGATGGAGAAAATGCAAAACCGGGATGAGACAAAAGCTGAGGAATCAGAAACTGCAAAATGCAGAGATTTTACTAGTCTTGCGATGGAGAGCAGTCCTTTTGAGAGAAATGATAACACAAAGGATCACATGTGCTGTTCTCCTGAGCTTTCAATGGCTGACATGAATATCCTTGGGCTAAAGCCAGAAAAGATAAAGAAGAAAAAGAAAAAAAATAAGTTGGATCGGCACACAAATGAAAAATCCACCCCTAAGAAACCTTGTAAAAAGAGGCAGTCCTCTGAGTCGGACATTGAAAGTGTAATGTATACAATTGAAGCCGTTGCAAAGGGGGACTGGGGTGCTGAGAGACTCACGGAAACTCACCGCAAAAAAAATCGCCCTGTCTCAAATGCGAAGGGAAGTGTGTTGGATACAAAATCACCAAAGAAAAAAGTGAAATCGAAAGAGAAGAAAACGTCAAAGGAGAAACCCCCAGAGACCACCAAAGAATCAAAGCCTCCCGATTTCCTTAGTATTGCAGCCAGCAAGGAAGTACCCTGTGAGGCTTCTGATAACATTAAAGTGGAACCACTGACCCCAACAGAGGAGGTGGTACCCCAAAACTTACCAGGACAGGTCAAAACTGAGGACAGTGACTGTGTTAAAAAGATAGAAACCTGTGGCTCCAGGAAATCGGAGAGATCTTGCAAAGGTGCTCTTTATAAAACTCTGGTGTCAGAGGGCATGCTTACATCTCTGCGCGCTAACGTGGACAGAGGTGGGTGGCTTTGAGTGTTTCATTTACAGCATGAACTGCAAAAGCCTGCCCACAGTGGGAACAGAAGTCCATGTTTAATCTGGAGTTTGAGCAGCCTGTGATGGGAATGCTATGTTTGGTCGCCTGAGATGCTGGGGGCAGGTGGAGGGGTCAGATTCCGTGGTCCAGGACAGGTCTTCTCCAATACTGCGATCTGTGTTCATTCTTACCTCACAAGCTCTTAACCTCTCCCTTTTTGTCTTTCATGATCTGAGATACAGCTCTTTGACCGAAGGCTTTTGGGTTAATTTGTCAGCCTGCTGATAAATGTATGCAGGATTTGTGTTGTATGTAACCCTGAACAATTAGCTTGTTTCTATATGAGTAACTCTTGTGGTTGTGAGCACAGTGCTCAGACCTACAAGAGGCAAACGTGTTGTGCTTTTGCATTAGTTGTTAGTTTTGCTGTAGGTGATGAGCAAGAACCATTTACCTTGTGAAAGGATAAATTTGAGGTAATTTCTGGAAGTTTTCGGTGAGATGTCTTGAAATGTATTTTTCTGATTGGTAGATTTATGTGTGTAATTAGAACAGTCAGAAAAGAAAAAGATGTTTGTAATCTAGGGAAGTTTATTACTGTAAATCTAGTTATCTCTTTCTCTTTCTTTATACCTTGAGAGATCCTGACTTTAGAGGTAGTATAAAAAAGGGGGGGAACAAGGAAATAATTGCCAATATCATCATTATCCAGTTTAAAATAAATAAATGTTTTGTAAGCCATTCAAGAAGGTCAAGCATCATAAGTTGCAGTACTGAATGGGTGCAGAAGTTCCTTCTGAGCCTGCTTTGTTCTGGCACATTTTTCTAAAGATGAGAAACAATTTTCTGCCTTCATCCCAGGAAAAAGAAGCTCAGGAAAAGGCAACTCCTCAGATCATGAAGGATGCTGGAATGAAGAAAACTGGGCTTTTTCCCAAAGTGGGACAAGTGGGAACAAGAAACTGAAAAAGTCTAAGCCAAAGGAGGAGTTTGTTTTTGGGTAAGTTGTGGCTTAACACTCTTCAAAGTTTTAGGTAGGTCAGCCTGGTAATTTAAGAGTGAGTCCTCCCCATTGCAGCTAAGTGAACTGCACCCAGGACCCAAATAATCACAGTTAGACGGAATTCCTGAAAATTACAAACCCCACTGGGCTGGGTCATGCTCTAGATACCTGTTGTTTATATACCAACATAATTCCTTTGAGATCTTTCCTGGTTTACGCTACTGTAAACAGATTTGAATGACATCGTTTGCTCACTTCTAAAAAAGCTCTGCAATATTTACCCGCTCAAGAGGTGGTGAAGAGGGTTACTTATATTTTCAGTGCACTTCGGAAGCAGTATTTAAAGTTCTGTGTATGCATTCAATCATCATAAATAGAATTAGACTAGAAAGAATAGATGTCTTTGCCTGCTTGGAGAGATTGCTTACAGAGGAAGAGTAAACAGTGGTTTAATATTGGCAAATAATTATGATAAATATGTCATTTTTCCATGTAGAGACAAGATATTTAAACAGTTCATGTACACCATGAAGAAATTAAACATATCAGAAGAATAATTAATGATTACAAATGCATTAAAATTTAGCAAGGCCACACAGAATTACTTTTCTAGTGTATGAAGAACAATTTTTGTCAGAGTATTACAGATTTATTTTAACTGTAGGCATAGTTGTTAAATCTGCTTAGCCATTCATACCTCCTCCAAATTCTTGAAGACTTCCAATTACCTGAATTCAGAGGATGAAAATTAATTAAAAAGGAGTAGATTTTCCACTCTTCATGCTTAAAATTGTAATGTGTTTCTTTTGTGCAGGCTTGTGGTAGCCTGTTTGGTTTTTTTTTTATAACCTAGTCAATGTGAAATTTAGCTGCAGCTGACTTTACAGCAAGTAAGATATTAAATTGATGGAAATCTGCAAGTCTTGTTTGCTTGGCATAGTCAGGAAAAAATAATGGAACACTTCTTATACTTTTAGTGCATTGTATATAAGTTTAGTAAATATTTTTTTAAATTGAAAGATTGAAAACTTTTTACACCCAATGCTGTGAAAACTGAATGCATCTCCTAGCAAAAAACCCAAAAAAGTAGTTACAAATTATTTATTCAAAGTAGCTAGGAAAAATATGTAAATAATTAATTCATTGGACAAATACTTTTATACCATTGTTAGCTGGCTGGATGGGGAAAATATGTATTTGCCAGTCTTGCTTCTTGATTTAGTCGTGTCATTAATGAATATTATTTAGTGAACTCCATAATGGCAGAATCTGTAATTTGTGGAGCGTAAGTGCTAGAGAAGGTATTCATTATCCTTGTTCATGGCACTACCTGATTCTGGCTACTTGAAGAGATAGTTTTACCTCTACCTGCTCCTCCTAACTCTCTGCTCCCTTCAGCATCACCTTTCAGCCTCGTTCCATGGGTCTGTTGGTGGGAGGGTCTTCACCCCTCTGAAATTATGTCTTTCTCCCTGTGTCCTCCTACCTTCTTCTCCATCAGTAGTTATCCCCGCTTCCCCGATGGTCCCTGTTGAGTGTGCTTTGTCCATGTGCAGCCCATTCTGTTGCTGAGCAGTGCTCTGCCTGCACGTATCTCCTGGCAGGACTAGGCTCTACAGCGTGAAGACCTCAGCTCAGCTACGTGTGTCTAACCAGACTTGTGAAATGCTCTGAAAATTCATGACAATGTGAATGATACTTTAAAAATAATTAATTGCTGACATAGTGATCGCACTCTCCACTGCCTCCGTGTCGCACAAGCTATAAATTACTAGCCGGGATGGCAGGTCGTCTGCTTTCAGGTTAGGTTCTTCCTAATTAGAGTTGCAGCCTCTCATATGCCCTTGGGGCAGGAGATGAGGCAGGTGGCAACAGGCACTGGGAGAAGAGCTGAGGCAGAGAATGGAATCACATCAGCTGTCAGAGCAGAAAATCGGCTTGTTTTGTGGTTGTCGGGGAACATCCGCATGGAACAGAAAGGTAGTACCAGGCACCACTAATGTCAGATATCTTTGTGATGTAAAAACAAAACAAAACATGCACACACACAAAAGAAACCCAAAATAAACAAATAAACCCCACCATGCACGCAGTCTGCCAAGACCCAAGGCTGTATTTTAAGATGGAAGATTGCTTACTGAAAGAAGTAATGATGACAGGAATAAAATGAAGTATCATTCTGTGTACCAAAGCTTTCAGAATGCAATTTGTTTGAAATACTGCTTCAGAGAACACAGAGAAAGGTCATGTTTCTTGTGATACTTCCAAGCGTACAGTGTGTAAGGGCCATCCCTCCAACAGTTATGCCAACTTTAGTCAAGTTCAGGTTTTCCGTAGCAAACAGAATTGAAGATAAGTAGAAAATGTCCTTGTTCCCCTGTCATTGACGGTGCTATTTATAATCTGCCTAGCTGTGCGCATTGCCTTTTATTAAAATACAATTCCTTCCTATGCTCCTGCCTGGCTGCAAAAGTTTGCTGGAACAGAGTGCTTATACAGACAGCATAGTCATTACAGCCAGAAATGCCATGCCATACCATACCATCCTGTTCGAGTGGTTTGTTTTCATCTGGCTATTAGGAGCAACAGTACCATGTCTGTGGATTTCTTGAGTTGTAGGTAAAGCTAATTACAGTCATTCAGGTTGGGCTGAAGTATGAGGGATGTTGTGTTTCCCAAAAGCACGAGCTAGTTGTGTTTTTCATTTTGCAACAAGTAAAATATGAGGGGAAGAAATATAATCCTTCAGAACAAATACAAAGCTAACTACCATCCCAAAGCATCAGGTTTTAGAATATCCCCAGAAGACTGAAGAGTTTGACATTTTTCTTCTGGTTCGAACTGTTGTTTTCATTCTGGTGTGGGGATTCTTATGTGAAGATATTTTACCGGTTTGCGTATTTATGGGGTTTATTATCTTTTTTCCATTCCCCTCACAGAACAGGCAAATCTCTTGTACAAATCTGTGCAGCAAACAGAGCTAAATGTCACCAGCGTGACATTGATCCCATCAGCCCCAATTTTAATATATGCAACTAATGTAATCATCTTGTACTGAGTTACGAATGCAGAAGCTGGAGTGTGCATTCTCATCCCAAAGTAATATTAATATAGATCAGTTTGTTTACAGTGTGTGCGCACTTATCTCTTTCCCCTCCTCTCTCTGCGTAGATAGGTATGTATATACACACACACGTGCTCCTAAACAATACATTTTTTCCTCCAGAAATGGAGTTACATTTAATTTGATTGGTTTTGTTTCCCCTTTAGCTTAGCAAAGTTGGAAGAAGAATTTGAAAAGAAATTCAACAGCCTCCCTCAATACAGTGCTATTACCTTTGACAGGAGAAATTCATCTGTTCCGAGGAAAAAGCGAAAGGCTGGAAGCAGCTCATGTGAACAGTCAAAATCCAGCAAAGGTAAATTACCATGTGCAATACATTCTTAAGCAAGAACAATGCTACAACAAGCTGAGGGATACTTTTTCGATGTGCTGTTCTATGTGAAAAGTGTGAAGTCAAAGAAAACGTTTTTCTAGCACTGAAGTTAATTGGTTCTCACCTGGGTTAGTTTTCAGGCTGTACTCTTGACTCCTGATTTTCATGCTGAGTAGAACTGGTTAGAATTTGTATGTTAAATATATTCCTCATAGCAAGCAAATTTATCAAAAACATGAATATTTCTGAGGTAAGTGAATTTGACAAGTTTTTCCTGGAGAAAATGGGGAAAAAATGGCAGATGATCAAAGGTTACATTTTGACATTTTTCAAAACATAGTTATGTGTCCATTTGCATTTCACTATAATTTTAGGCTCTATAAATGAAAACATAAGATACCAGAGAAGTCTGAGTGAAACATTTGGATTTAAGATTTTAACACTGTCATAAGTTTGGAACAAAAATGTCCTGACATGATAACAAAAGTTTAGAGGACAGGAAAACCAATCCCATACCCAGCTCCATTGCTGAGGCTCTTGGAGGGAGAAACTCATGACACATTTGGCTGTTTTATGTACAACCAATCTGTGACACAGAGGTGGTAGAGAAGTCAGAGTATGTTAGGGGAAAACTACTTTTAGGCTGTGGCAAAAGCACTGATGCATGCGTACAGTACAGAAGCATCACAAAATGAAGGAATGATGTACCAGTAATCTACAAGACAAAAGGATGCTCAAAAGAGTCCTTATTATGCGTAGTTCACAATGCAAAGCTGGCTTCCTTTTCTGCTACTATGGTAGTTCCACTGACTGACACGTTTTCAGATCTAATATGGCTATTTTAGCCAGGTGACCCTGGATTAGATCTGTGCCTTTTGAATGCTTCACAAATAATCACATTACAGTATGCAGGATTGAGCAGCTGTTTTTTTCTAGTGCATGCCAATTTTGGTATTGATTTTTGTATTTATATAATTAGATGTGGAACAGTCACTTTTGCAAAATTAGACTTGTGCTAATACCAAGTGAGTTCTCACTTCAAATGCCTTTCATTTTTTTTTATGGTATGTATTTGACAGAACTTCTTCAATGAGCATGAATGAATTGCTTTACAGTATGATAATATGGTGGTTAATTAAGCAACATCTGTTGGGAACAAGATCTCCTCATCTACCATGATCTGGCAGCTGAAGTTGTAATAGCAGCTCCTTGGATTTCTCACTACAGTATTTACCTGTTCAAATGTCTGTACATCTAAAAATTTTGCAGGCCCTGCATTGTTTGGGTATGGCATACTAGAATGCTACCTGAAGTCAGGTAGCCCAGAACTGTGTTCTGCTTTTGGTTAGGTTCATACATGATAGCTTCATTTTTATCCTTGTTTACATCACTTAAAAAGCTTAGGAATATATTTGGTCATATCTTAAGGGAAAGTCAGAAATGTAACTGCAGGCAGGTTACGAGCCTGATATGAGTAGTTTTGGCACAGCCCTGAGGAAGCAGCTGTCAAGAATTTGCCTCTAGCTGATGATGAGGGCTCTTTAAGCCAGCTGACTTTGCACTGAAGCAGATGGTAAACAGTCGCATGAACTTTTCCACCAACTGAGCTGTGGGGTTGCAACAAGCAGCCCCAGGGTAGGAATATCTGATTGTGACACTGCTGTTTCTGTAGTGGACATCTAACTGAAGCCCCAAACTAAATCCAGATGGAGCTAGTGATATCTGCTCCTAATTTCAACGAATGCTGAATTGACTCAAGTTAGCTGGGCAAGCTGTCAGCTTGTGTCAGTCATTCCAGCTCCCTGGAGAGTGAAGTTCAGCTCTCAAGAGATAGCTGAAAAACTTTCCGTCAAACCATTTTTCTTTTGGAAAAGAAAGATTGCTAAAAAGTAAATATGCCATGGCAATGGGTCAATTTTAATTTGTTTTATTATGTTAGGATACTTAAAATCAGAACGTGAATTGTGGAGTTGAAACAACCTGAACCAAATGGCACACAAGCAAGCTTACTAGCTTAGTAGGGAAACTGTTCCAGCTGAGCCAAACATTCATTAAGCTGTATCCTCAATTTAATTTGTAGTGTACTGACAGGCCATTCAGCCTCATCATGCTGTTGGCTTGCCTGTGAACTGTGACGAGTCCAGAGGCAGTTAAGAGAATACTGACGTCCAAAGGTGTTCAGCATACAGGTCTGCAAGCCAGGCTCCTGGAAGTATTGCAGGAAATGAAAATGGCATATAGTGCAAAATGATAGAGCTTAGTTCGGAATGGTTCTGGGTTTTTTGAATTATCATGGTTTTTCACACTATCAGAATTAAACAAAGGTAACATCTTATTCTTGCAATGTCATGAGCATGAACCGTGAAGGGTCAATACAGTCTTATGGGTGTGACTGTGTTGGGATGTAGGAAACCTTAACTTTGCTGTGCTCTGCGTTACCGTGTTGTCTGGTGCTGTTTCTGCTGCTTTGCTCTTCCTTGGAGTTGTCTCTGTCTGTAAGGTAATTAAAAGAGATGACCAGCACAAATAGTGCTACTAGTGATTGGGGCCTCTGGATATTTCCAAACAACAGATAATAATCAGTAGGGGTAGGTTTAGTAAACACTCTTTAAAATCATTCCCTACTTTTTCTGAATGAGCATGTGCAGGATCATAAACTTCCCAGGCAGTCTTAGTTCTCAGACTGAGATTTTTGCAAGCTACAGATCAGTGCCTACTAAATTACATGTAAAATTTGGGAAAGGTTGGAGTGCTGTACACTAAAGCTTCCCCAGGATGTTAGATGAATAAAAATGGAGAAATGTTTTTGTTTGTTGGTTTTGGGGTGGTTCCCCCCTCCCTCCCCCATAATTAAGGCTGTATGCCTTAATATGTTTTATTTTTGAGTAAATGGTGCCAGATTGATTTTCTGTCAAATATCATTAACCTATACCTACAAGAGGCCTATCTGCTACCTAACCCAAACAGCCAGGATTGTCAGGATATTTTCCTACTCCTGAGTGGAAAGTGAGTGGGTGAGTGCCCATTGACTAATTCCATTGTGCTTGTCACATCCAGTCCTCACTTCAGCCAGTTCTTTTCATATAAAAACACCTCAGGAACCCTGTGACATGAAAGCTGTTTCAAATCCACATGTATAAGAGAAAATTTGAGCTTTCTTAGAGGCAATTTTTTCCCCAGAGCTTTCCAAATTGTCCAAATTCTGCTCCCACTGAAATTAATGGGGGTCAGTCTTCACCGGGAGCAGGATTGAACAAGCCATAACACTTTGGCAAATTCTGCCTGAAGCATTTTGAACTGGGAGTGTGCATACACAATAATAATGTCACAAAATGGCTGAAAAATGCAGGTCTACTGAATCTGTGCAGATGGCCTGCTCTGACATTTGCTGGAGCTGTGACTGATTTCTTTTTTTTCTTCTTTCCAATGGCATATGTGCCGAAACATCCCACCACACAGTAGTCAGCAGTCTGCAGTGAGTCACTAATCTGCTTGTATGCAAAAATGAGCAACAGGCATAGTCATTATTTCTGCCTTGTGCTGTGAAGAAATGCTCACTTATACACTAAGCACTTCACTAAAGCTTTCGTTTTTGGGAAGGCAAGGAGAGGAATGCATAGTGTGCTTTTATTTGGGACAGGGATTGCCTAGAATTTTTTTTTTGTCTGTAGCCTCTAGGACTAGAAATAAAGCATCAGCTTAAAATGGATGCTTCTTTGTGGCATTGCTCTTGGTCTTAGCTCAGGGGTTTTTTTGGCTCTGTTCAAAGCGTTCAGATGCCTGGAGATCGCATGCCATAGTGTTCAAAGATCATGACCTAAAAATATACAATCTTCCTCCTGAGACATGTAGAAATGCAGACACAAATCTGTTTGTCGTGGTTTTCTTACAATCATGTTGAAGTGTTCTCTATTTGATCAGGCCCTTTTAAATAGGGAACTTTGTGAGAGCAGAGGGAGCATATGCCCGGAAATGCAGTTATGATTTGTTACGTGTGGTGGGTTCATTTTCTTGCCTGCTGCTTCCTCGAGCAGCTGCTGTTGGGGCCATAGGGAGTATTCCCAGGAGGAAATCCCTACTGCCCTCAGTGACAATGGCTGAGCCAGGGATTAGCAGGTGATTAAATCCTGTGGCAACTGCTGAAGCGCTAGGGAGAGGAAGAGCCATGTAGAATATTTCCAATAGAGAACGATGAGCAGGAGAAAAGGACTGACTTTATACTTGCAGATGGCTGTGTAACAGTAGCAAGTAAGCTAGCATTTTTTTCAGCTTTCTATAGGAAGTCACATCCAAGGTCCACTGCCTAACAGCAAACCTTTTAGGTTAGGTAGTTTTTTCGGTCATGGATTTTCTCTGGATTGAATGTTGACAAGTGGCATTTGCTCAAAGTCTTGGAGTACTTGCCTGCTGTTACCATGAAACAGGTGTAGCCCAGACAGCCATCCTGAAAACTCCTGCATGGGTGAGTGTGCCTAAACTGTGCTCCTGGGACACCTGCTAGTGAGAGCCTGAAAAGGAATATTAACTCTATCCCAGCCAAAACTAGCACATGATCTCAGGAATGACCCCTTGTTCAGCCATTACTACATGCAGATGTCCTCTCCAGTCCAGACTATATTTTGCCTTCTCCATATTGGTTTAGTTCAGTTAACTTCCATTAAAAGAAAAGCTCTCATTTTCATACCTGAATATGCCATGCAAAGCTCCTGTATTTGGCAGTTCATTGGCTTAGGCCTTAATCTAAAGGCAGGATGGGATGTGCCCTTTTTCGAAGAACCGCCAGATAATCTATTCAGTAATTACTAGACAGTTTGTATGTGCAAGTGTGAGAGTGATTGTAATTTCACTTTTCATTGAGGACAGTGAGCTTATCCTCTAGTTCACTCTAAGTAGTTCAGGCAGGGAGTGTGGATGAAGTTTCTCATGGAGTCAGAAGTTGTTCTCAGGTCCAAGTATGACATATTGACCTATTTAGCTATTAG